AACAAAACAGATGAACATAGGAGAAGGGAAAGAAAAATAAAATAAAAACAGGGAAGCATCATAAGTCGCTTTATAGGAAACAAACTGAGGGTTGCTGGAGGGGAGGTGGGGGGTTGGGGTAAATAGGGGATGGGCATTAAGGAGGGCACATGAGGGAGGAGGGGCAAGATGGCGGAAGAGCAGAGTCCCCAAATCGCCTGTCCCCAGCAAATTACCTAGATAACCTTCAAATCATCCTGAAAATCTACGAATTCGGCCTGAGATGTAAAGAGAGACCAGCTGGAATGCTACAGTGAGAAGAGTTCGCGCTTCTATCAAGGTAGGAAGACGGGGGAAAAAGAAATAAAGAAACAAAAGGCGGGATCCCTGGGTGGCGCAGCGGTTTGGCGCCTGCCTTTGGCCCAGGGCGCGATCCTGGAGATCCGGGATCGGATCCCGCGTCGGGCTCCCGGTGCATGGAGCCTGCTTCTCCCTCTGCCTGTGTCTCTGCCTCTCTCTCTCTCTGTGACTATCATAAATAAATAAAAATTTAAGGAAAAGAAAAAAAAAAAAAAAAAAAAGAAACAAAAGGCCTCCGAGGGGGAGGGGCCCCGCGAGGAGCCGGGCTGAGGCCGAGGTGAGTGTCCCCAGGACAGAAGAGCCCCGTCCCGGAGAAGCAGGAGCTGCACCAACCTTCCCCGGCGGGCGGAAAGGGGCCCGCAGGGAGTTGGAGCAGGACCCAGGAGGGCGGGGATGCCCTCGGGCTCCCTGGGACACTAACAGACACCTGCGAGTGCAGGAGAGTGCGCCGAGCTCCCTAAGGGCTGCAGCGCACCCGCGCAGCTCCGGAGGGGCTCGGGAGCGGCTCCAGGGAGGGAGCTGCGGGGCGGGAGCGCAAATCCAACAGCGCAGGCCCCGGAGCACAGGGCGCCGGGACACAGCCCAGGATCCGGCCTCCCCCGGGACAGGCAGAGGCCGGGAGGGCCCAGGACAGCGAGGACGCTCCTGCCCCGAGCTGAGCAGATCAGCGGCCCCGCCCCGGAGCCTCCAGGCCCTGCAGACGGAGAACCGAGAGCCCCGAGCCCCGTAGTTCCTGCGGAGGCTGAATCCAGGCTTCCAGAGTTGCCATAGCAACTGCGGCTGTTCCTCCTGGGGCCCCACGGGGTAAACAACCCCCGCTGAGCCCGGCAGCAGGCAGGGGCAGAGCAGCTCCCCCAAGTGCTAACACCTGAGAATCAGCACAGCAGGCCCCTCCCCCAGAAGACCAGCTAGACGGACCAGTGATACTCCCCCGTGTTCCAATACAACTTGTTTTTGGCCACTCTGCACTGAGCAAAATGACTAGAAGGAAAACCTCACCTCAAAAGAAAGAATCACAAACAGCCCTCTCTCCCACAGAGTTACAAAATCTGGATTACACTTCAATGTCAGAAAGCCAATTCAGAAGCACTATTCTACAGCTACTGGTGGCTCTAGAAAAAAGCATTAAGGACTCACGAGACTTCATGACTGCAGAATTTAGATCCAATCAGGCAGAAATTAAAAATCAATTGAATGAGATGCAATCCAAACTAGAAGTCCTAACGACGAGGGTCAACGAGGTGGAAGAACGAGTGAGTGACATAGAAGACAAGTTAATGGCAAAGAGGGAAACTGAGGAAAAAAGAGACAATCAATTAAGGGACCATGAAGACAGATTAAGGCAAATAAATGACAGTCTAAGGAAGAAAAACCTACGTTTAATTGGGGTTCCCGAGGGCGCCGAAAGGGACAGAGGGCCAGAATATGTATTTGAACAAATCCTAGCTGAAAACTTTCCCAATCTGGGAAGGGAAACAGGCATTCAGATCCAGGAAATAGAGAGATCCCCCCCTAAAATCAATAAAAACCGTTCAACACCTCGACATTTAATAGTGAAGCTTGCAAATTCCAAAGATAAAGAGAAGATCCTTAAAGCAGCAAGAGACGAGAAGTCCCTGACTTTCATGGGGAGGAATATTAGGGTAACAGCAGACCTCTCCAGAGACCTGGCAGGCCAGAAAGGGCTGGCAGGATATATTCAGGGTCCTACATGAGAAGAACATGCAACCAAGAATACTTTATCCAGCAAGGCTCTCATTCAAAATGGAAGGAGAGATAAAGAGCTTCCAAGACAGGCAGGAACTGAAAGAATATGTGACCTCCAAACCAGCTCTGCAAGAAATTTTAAGGGGGACTCTTAAAATTCCCCTTTAAGAAGTTCAGTGGAACATTCCACAAAAACAAGGACTAAATAGATATCATGATGTCACTAAACTCATATCTGTCAATAGTAACTCTGAACGTGAATGGGCTTAATGACCCCATCAAAAGGCGCAGGGTTTCAGACTGGATAAAAAAGCAGGACCCATCTATTTTCTGTCTACAAGAGACTCATTTTAGACAGAAGGACACCTACAACCTGAAAATAAAAGGTTGGAGAACCATTTACCATTCAAATGGTTCTCAAAATATACCCTAAAAACTATAGAACACTTCTGAAAGAAATTGAGGAAGACACGAAGAGATGGAAAAATATTCCATGCTCATGGATTGGCAGAATTAATATTGTGAAAATGTCAATGTTACCCAGGGCAATTTACACGTATAATGCAATCCCTATCAAAATACCATGGACTTTCTTCAGAGAGTTAGAACAAATTATTTTAAGATTTGTGTGGAATCAGAAAAGACCCCGAACAGCCAGGGGAATTTTAAAAAAGAAAACCATATCTGGGGGCATCACAATGCCAGATTTCACGTTGTACTACAAAGCTGTGGTCATCAAGACAGTGTGGTACTGGCACAAAAACAGACATATAGATCAATGGAACAGAATAGAGAACCCAGAAGTGGACCCTGAACTTTATGGTCAACTAATATACGATAAAGGAGGAAAGACGATCCACTGGAAGAAAGACAGTCTCTTCAATAAATGGTGCTGGGAAAATTGGACATCCACATGCAGAAGAATGAAACTGGACCACTCTCTTGCACCATACACAAAGATAAACTCAAAATAGATGAAAGATCTAAATGTGAGACAAGATTCCATCAAAATCCCAGAGAAGAACTCAGGCAACACCCTTTTTGAACTTGGCCACAGTAACCGGAGAAGGACAAACAGTGTATGTTCTCATTCATTTGGGGAATATGAATAATAGTGAAAGGGAATATAAGGGAAGGGAGAAGAAATGTGTGAGAAATATCAGAAAGGGAGACAGAACATAAAGACTTCTAACTCTGGGAAATGAACTAGGGGTGGTGGAGGGGGAGGAGGGCGGGGGGTGGGGGTGAATGAGTGACAGGCACTGAGGGGGACACTTGACGGGATGAGCACTGGGTGTTATTCTGTATGTTGGCAAATTGAACACCAATAAAAATTAATTTATAAAATTAAAAAAAAAGGAGGGCACATGATGTGATGAGCACTGAATGTTACATGCAACTGATGAATTATTGAAAACTATTTCTGAAACTGGGACACTTTGGTGGCTCAGTGGTTGAGCATCTGCCTTTGGCTCAGGTCATGATCCTGGAGTCCTGGGATCAAGTCTCACAATGGGCTCCCTGTAGGGATCCTGCTTTCCCCTCTGCCTAGGTTTCTGCCTCTCTGTGTCTCTCATGAATAAATGAATACAATCTTTAAAAACAATTACATCTGAAACTAATGATGTTGGCTAATTGAATTTTTAAAAAATAAATAAAAGTTGCTCCTACAACTAGCAGTTTTTATGCCTTACTCATTGTGAACAGAATGGCTGGCTCAATTTTAGACCCAACGTTAATTATACAACTTTTAAACCGAAATGGTAGAAGGTTGCCTATGTCTACTAGTCCCAGTAACATTACCTTTTCCAAAGAAAACACTGAGGAAAACTTCTCCAACCAAGAGTAAAATAGCAACCTGACAGGAGGGACAAATTAATCTGGGTGTGGCTTTGGCCTGGAACAAAACACGACCAGGCACACACATAAATCACTTCATCCTTTTCCCACAGAAAATACAAAAGCTGGAAAATACTACCATATGCCTTAACATTTTCTAAGTATTTCTGCTGACCCTTTAAAATTGCCGTATCCAACTTCTCATTAAGCAGAATATATGGTGCTTTTCATTTCCTCTCCATATGAGGAGAGGAAATTTAGAATTTTGAACACTGATGGTACCACAAATCCAGGAGTAAGCAGAGCAAATGACAAGAAGACTGGTTAAGTCAGCCTATGAGGGAATCAGAGCTGTCAACGAAGTCAAAGCCTCATTAGACACCCAAGAATAACCTCAGGAGGAACTCTTTCCTTTTTTTTTATTTTTTGAGGAACTCTTTCCTAACCTCTCCACTTTTCCCCCACCAACTTATCCCTGTCCAACAGAAATAGCCCTGTAGGGAAATGAAAATAAATCAGCAAGGATTACCGAGGTCCATTCTCTTTCAGAAGCAACACACCATGACATGCGTCAATTTTATCACCTGACACCCTACTCATGTATTACAAGGTTATAATGAGTTCTCCACGCACATGTGCTGAACTCACTTGGCCCATAAGGACTTAAGACTTTCTTCAAAGACAGTATTTGTCAGTATATTTGCCAAAAGAGGAATAGAAACTCCTGCCTGTAAGCACTGCAAGGAGTCATATGCCTGTGAAGTCACCAATCTAACAATTCAGTATTTAATCATTCAGAGTTCTACGAACACCAAAAATCCATTGACTGAGTCAGGATTCATTAATTATAGTGATTTCCTTCCTGAATACATCCTACTTTCCACATCCTTAGAAAAAGTCTTGTTATGCCTTACTCCTGTATCACCCTGGTACCTAAATAGTTTTTTGCTTCTCACATCTTTCTATTAGGTTGTACATCTCAGTATCCCTGGCCAAAGCAACTGAAGTAATAAACAAATGAGACCTCAAACCATTTATCCAAGTTGGGTGATTAAGGTAGAAAAAAAAATGAGATTACTAGAGTATCTAGGAATACTGAGGTAGAACTTGTCACATCAAAATACAAAATTTTCAAAACAGTACATTTTATTTGACATTAGAAAACACATTCCGCAATTTGTTTCAGTTGTGACATGTAGATGGCTTTAGATTGTTTTTGTGGTCACTGATGCTGAGCAAGATTTTTCAATCTTCAAAACACTTAAAGCTCAAAGGTTCTGCATTTCACATCAGTTCATAAGTCCAAGTATATCTTCCCACTTATCGAAGTATTTGGCATATATTCCCTTTTAGGTACAAAGGTAAAGACGAAGCAATTTCCTTTAAAAAACCGTTTTGTTCAATTTCATTTATGCCATAAAAATCAGATGACAGCATGTTCTTATCCTTATCAGTAGGGGTAGTCTTAGGATGCCAGAAACTGTGAAAGGAAGGCTTTTAGTTACTTTCTCCTTTCCAATTTCCAATAAAGCATTCCCCAATCCCAACCTGAAAATACAAGTGTTACAGAATCCAGCTAATACCACATATTAAAAGCCAAACATTAGTATTTAGTTGATAATCATTTAGCCCAAAAATGTTTCTCAAAAACTTATAGAAATGAGTGGGGAGAAAGTACTGTGTCTTCATCTCAACAATGACCAGTTATTGGAATTGCATTAAACTGAAAAAAGGCAATCCCCTAGTTAAACTTGGAAGTAGTAATGCTCTTAAAACCAATCCAAAGCACAAGCAGGCTGCCCTTAGAGACTGGTTTGACCTTCTCTTTCACTCTTCCTCCTAATCCCACCCTCTGTGAGTGATTTAAAAATAGAAAAGGTCAAAACCCAGTTAGGCCTAGATTGAGAATTTTTTGTTGTTGTTTACCTCAAATTTTTGCCAATTATTTCCAATTTCTATTCTTAAAAATTAATCATGGTAAAATTGTTAAGCTATTTTTATTCACTGACATAATTCCACTCTAAGAAATCCTTTCCTGAAACATGTTTTGATGGTGAGATTTCTAAAGGTTAAGTTGCAAAGCTGTTGCAAAAGAGAAATCATGTCTCTCCCATTATGTTATGTACCATCTGAGGATCGTTCTTCAAAGAGATCTATTTAGGCAGTGTTTATTTGTCAGAATGTAAAATGTAAAGAATTAAAAGCAGATAAAACTGGTAAATGCATTTCAAAACCAATTGTGGCCTGAGTATGAGTGCTTTCTCAAGGCTGTTACCAGTGAGACTGGGGATTGGGAATTAGTTGTCATCCCTCCTCCTGCCCAGCAGTGGCTTTAATATTTAATACAAAAAAAGCCATTTTAATGGCAACATTTAATACAAAAACAGCCATTTTTCCTGGGGGATGGGTCGGTAAAAATAAAGTGTCTACTATAACGAAAGTTCCTGATACTTAAAAAGCTAGCTCAATTGAAAACCCTGCTTATTGTAGTGGCCAGAGTACTAGAAGAAACATGGAAAAGGAATTAAAAACCACAACATTATTAAGGTACTAAGCACTGAGCCATGTCCCTACCACAAAACAAACCAAAAGGAAAGTTTAAATGTTCTCTAGGAAAGCATTCGTTTTTTTCTTGTCTCTGGGGCAAACTGGGAATATAGCAAAACACCTTATACATAACAGGCACTCAACCCTGTAGAATGCATAAATGAAGAAATGAACAGTAACCTCTTATATTCTAGTCTCTAAGCTAATAAAAAAAATCAACTTTCTTTCAGTCATGATCTTTTTTGTTTTCTGTCTAGGAATTAAGAGAATGCCTTGAAAGAGACACTTCCATTTAAGGAAGAATTTCATCCCATTTTTTTGGTTTTGTTTTGTTTTGTTTTACTGAATCTCCAAAATAAACTAAGTGCCTTTCATACCAGATCCATTCCAATTTAACATCACCTTCTTTGATGTTTGTATGAATAGAAAGTCCTCTCTTATTCCCACTCTACAAAACATGCCAAAGAGAAGGTGATCATTTATTCTTAGTGTCTTAATGTCACAGCTGCTCAATAAAGTTTTTTCAAAAAAAAAAAGTTTTTTCAACTTATGAAAGAACTGCATTCTCTTATTAAATTTATTCTTATGTTTCCACCAAAAACTAATGAGATTAAATTACATTTTGGTCAAGGACCTTTACATTTCTTATCGCACCATTTGAGAACAGTACTTTATTCAGAGTCAATAAATTTTTACAAAATATGGAAAATCTAGAAAAAAATCTATTGCTCAAGGTGCTTTCTGACTCTAAGCCAGGCCAATATGCAAATGTTGTTAAACTAGTTATTTTATCTCAATTCTCATCTTAAGTCATTCATTTATAATAAAAACAGAATTGTAAATTAATTAATTCAAGGGTAAGCCCTAGGTGCCCTTTTATCAGTCTGCTGGCTTCAAACTAGGTCAATGAGCATGTGACATTGGGACTCTCTAGAACTAGGAGTAATGTCTTCATTTAATTTTAAAAGAACCATGTGCCTTATTTTTCTATTTTTTTAATCTCCAAGACAAGTCAATGGGTTTTCTGGACCAGACCCATTCAACGAATTTATCTAGCATAATACCTTCCAGAACATAAGCATTCAAATATTTACTCAAAACTCAATGATATTTTCTTATCTTCATCTATAATCTTTATTCTAATGAGCTCTTAACTTGGCCCATTTCAATTCTCTTAGGATCTAGAATGATGTATTCCACATAAAAAATGATGTATATATCAAATGAATCTAAAAGCAAACCTTAGTGATTTATTTTTACTCCTTTAATGACTCAAGCCAGGCCAAGGTGGAAATAATTCACCTCCACCTTCAGCATTGAACATTTTAAAGACTGGTAGAGAATTGTAACACCCTGCTTCTTAAAAATACTTCCCATCTCTTCAGCCAGGCCTGGGAGCAAGTACATTTCTGAGATTTTATCTTTCCACAGAGCTCAGTATTTAGCATTCTGCCTAGCACAATGGCATTTTTCCCATGTTTTTATTAAATAAGCTCTTTTATAGAAAGTAACCAGTAATCACTCATTAAGCCAAGTTATTTCCTTATAGAACACGAGGCTTTGTAAATTTACACAGATCTCTGATAATAAGTTTTTACATCCCCAGCTGCTATCTCTGGGGATAAAAGAAAGTAAATAATCAATAAATAATAAATAATTCAGCAGGTATTTCTTATATGTATGGCAGTTTAAAAACTTTTAAATTTATTTTATACATTATCTGCTGCTACCCAGGAAACAATAAAGATGGTTTATCTTCACATCCCCAATGCCTAGCAAGGAGATTGGCACATGATAGACAATTATTATCCAGTTTTACATTTATCAGATATTTAATCCTTTATATATTATATTCAGAGTGTTCAATAGTTAAAAATTCTTCCTTAAAAATTTTTCAACTTTTTTCATAGTATAATGATGACTGTGATATGATTTATACTACTACTCAGCACCAAATTAGAAAATAAGTAGTTAAACTTACACAGTGCTGTATACTTCCCAAAATACTAACATATATTGTTTTATTTTCAACTGTAAGCACAATGAAATGTTAAGTCTGTGTATCTCTATAGTGCCTGTAATAATGAGTTCACCTATTAAGCAACTGAGGATATTCATTCATTCAACAAGTATTTAAACCCTCAGTTTGTATAACTATTCATACTACCTTCATCATAGTGGATGTCAAGCACAAAATGAGAATTTTGTAGAGAAAATGCCTATCTCACAGAAAGGTTTTATTCACACAGAAAACAGCTAATATCTCACATTTATATAGCACTTTAGAAAGTGCAAGGGTGGGGACACCTGGGTGGCTCAGCGGTTTAGAGTCTGCCTTCAGCCCAGTGCATGATCCTGGAATCCTGGGATTGAGTCCCACATAAGGCTCCCTGCATGGAGCCTGCTTCTCCCTCTGCCTGTGTCTCTGCTTCTCGCTTTCTGGGTCTCTCATGAATAAATAAATAAAATCTTAAAAAAAAAAAAAAAGAAAGAAAGTGCAAGGGCAATCTCAATCATTCTAATTTCTTGTCACCTAGGAAAATACACTGGTGATAATTTAGACATGCCCAGTAAAGTCTTGATTGATTAAAATAAACAATATCTAATTCCTTACATCTAACTAGTCTAGGACATAAACCTACCTCTTATTACATGGGAGCATTATCTTGGATTTCACAGTACTCAAACAGTACCTGGCCCATAAAAGATCATTAATATTCATCGATTAATAAACATATAACCCACTGGTATTTATATAGTGCTTTAGTTTATAAAACACTTTAATATGCCCTTCATGATCTGAAATTTTTAATTCCATAATAACACTTTCTCCCTTTGCAATCTGTAGCACCTAGCATGTATCTGGCACATTTTAAGTGCTCACAATAGCTTAATCCCTTGTGTTTGTAGTGTATCTTATGGTTTCAAAGCAGTTTCCATGTGTTTGTTTCTCTGCTACCTGGAATACTGTATTTTTACTTAAAATTACCAGAGCAGCAGAAACACAATGGCCACAAATACAGGAGATATTTGTTTATCAAACAATTCCTAATCAAACAATTCTGCGTAGTATTACAGACTTGACAAAGTACTTTATTCAGTCTTCTTTTAATCTTTGAATCTATAGTGTCTAGTACAGTAGAATAGAGTTACTATGTAATCAGTATTTGTTGATCAAATCAAACTCATAAACCTTTAAGTGCTTTATAATTTACAATGCACGTTCACATATTTTTCTTCAGGTCACCAGGATGTGATCATCAATAATTATTGTATCCTTAGTGCCTAGCATAGGGACAGACACCCAGAAAAAAATATTATTCAGCACATAGTCCCTGGTATTTATATCACAGGTGATAAAACCATGGCTGCCAGACCAAATCTACTTGGTTCACAAGCTAAGAATAGTTCTTCCTTTTTAAAGGGTTGTAAAAGTAAAAAAAGATGTCTGAGACCATTTGGCCCACAAACCCTAAAATATTTACCACTTGACCCTTTATGGAAAGGGTGTGATGACTCCTGATTTATATAATGCTTCACAACTGACAGTGCACTTTAAATGTTAGCTGTGCATGGCTGCCAATATAGTATTAATAAGAATGCCTTGTGTTTTCTGTGTGTTACAGTGCTTTCACATATATTCTCAATTACTTATAATTATCTTCTCATGGTAAGGTAGGAAAAAAAAAATCAAGGAAAGGATTAAACATGCTCAATCTTCCCAAATTCTCTCACCTTTAAGCCTAGAGGTGGGTATTAAACCTAGGAGCAGTGTTGGCACAATCTCCCAAATTATTAGGCCACTACTATAAGCAGGGAGTTCAAACTATCTCCTTGGGGCCTTACTCTGTCCCAGGCCCAATTTTATAACCATCACTAGGAATCCCAAACCCCAAGAATCCTGCTCACCCAAGAGCAAAGAAGAAAGGTGTTGCAGGCTGGTGCTTCTCAACAGGCTGGCACATCTGGGTATTCCTTGTCTAATTCTTCTCATTGGCCTGGAACATCTCTTCACATTTTCTCTAGATAGCCTGGCACTTTTTTTCCCCCAACAGCCTGACGCTTGCCTTTGCTTATCAGCCTAGAGCTTCTAAGGAAAAGGGAGAACTGAAATACAATGTTACCTATATGTCTCTCTCAAGAAGTAGAGATGAAGAGAAATGGAAATTTAAAAAATAAACACTTAATCAATGGCTCAAAACTGTGATAAAAATTGGCTTAAGACTGGCCCAAGCATAATATTGCCAATCTCAAGATATGGCTCCTGAAGGCAATAGCAACATCAAAAAGGGCTTCTCACAAGAAGTGGGTTTATGTGAAAATGTAAGAACTGGAAAGGGAGAACTGAAAATGTCCATGAGTAGGGAGGACAGGAATAGAAAAAAGCTGGTGTTTTGTGTTCTCATCTTGGGATTTCCTCTGGTCTTGGGGCTTCTTTCCTTCCCGGATTCTGTGTCATGGGCTTCTAGCTGCCCACCTGATTAGTCTTGATATATCTTTCTCTTCAGCCTTCTGTCCATCTAGAAAGGCAGGAGTCCTCTGGGGCCTTCCATCCTTGGATCTTAGGTTTTTATCTCACTTAGACCTTGTGTCTTAGGTCTCAGACATTCCATTAGTCCCCATGCTTAAGCCTTCAGTCTCCCACTCTGGGTCTTTGAACTCATATTTAACTCAAGATTTGAACTTTCCATCCAACTCAGACAGGTCTTCTATCCAACAAGGGCCACCGTTTTAAATCATAGCTGCCAGGGACATGATGGTCTCAAGCCTGAGGATTCCATCTATCTTGAATCACAGGTTTTCCATGCTTGTCTTCAAGTCACAAGTCTCAAACCATCTTTATTTTACGTTGGGCCTTCTATCCATTATGGGCCTTCCACTTTCTGTCCATCATAGTTCTTAAATCATCTCATAGGGTGTCCTGGCATAATGAACAGCTCTGCAATGCTTATTTTGATAGCTGGCACTCAGTTCCTATTGGGAAGGGGTTAGGAAACCCCTCTGTCACAAACACACACATGTGACCATAGAAATGCACAAAATATGCAAGGACTTGAGGGGACTCCATAAAGCCAAAGGGGGTAAACACAGACACATAAAAAGGCTGAAATACTCAAAGGTAAGCAGAAGGGGGAAAGCAGAGAAGAAAGAAGAGAACAGAGATGAATGCTGAAATGGAAAGTTACAAAGAACAAAGAAACACTGATCAGGAGAAAAGAGAGAAAACTGCCCCCAAGAGAGGCAGAAAAAAATACATATAAAAGAGAAATGTGAGACAATGAGTAGAAAAAGCAGAAAGGGAAGCCCAGAATAAGGGAAAGGTGAAATGTCAAACCAACATGAAGAGGAAGGGAAGACAATCAGAGTTCACAACAGTAAGAGAAGAGAGGTATAGGCAGAACAAGAAATAAACAAAAAGGACACAGCATGTGACAGAGACACGAAGGGAAGAACAGTGAAAGAAGAGCCAGATCTAGGAGAGCAGAAAGAATCAGAAACAAAATGAAAAAACTAGAGAGAGACATCTAAGACAAGGCACAGACCACTCTTAGGAACAAAAAACAAAAGGAGACAAAGATACACATAGACGAAACTAACAAAATAATCAAGGAATGGCTAAGACACACTTTAGATAGAAGGACAACCAAAGAGATTTAAAAAAGAAATAGACAAGCAAAGAAATACACACTTTTGAGTGGAAGAGATAAGCCAAGGCAGACATTCAGAGAAAGAAAGAAGTAAAGACAAAATACAGTAAGGGACACAGAGGCATATGAGAAGCATCACAAAAAGAAGACAACAAAAAGTGCATTAATAATTAAAATAAGCTATTATTAGTACTAATACTACTTATATTACTAACAGTAATAATCATTATAATAACCTATAATAACATAGATGTTTTCTACATATAAACCTTTACCTTACAAATTTCTTAAATAGAACCAAAACATGCAACTCTGCCTGCCACTAGATGATTTAAGTGGTCACCTGTATTGTGTCAAATGAATTTATGAAATTTCATGGGTTATCTTTTACTTACCATGGGCCAGAGACTACTAAACACTGTATATACATACATGATTTCATTTAACATTCACATACAAGTCTAACCAAAAACTCTATAGATTGAAAAAGGCCATACACCTAATGAATGGCAGAAGATTTAAATACAGAATGTGTTGGGACACCTGGGTGGCTCAGTGGTTGAGGGTCTGCCTTCGGCTCAGGGCGTGATCCCGGAGTACCGGGATTGAGTCCCGCATCAGGCTCCCTGCATAGAGCCTGCTTCTCCTTCTGCCTGTGTCTCTGCCAGTCTCTCTCATGAATAAATAAATAAAATCAAGAAAGAAAGTGTACCTTTTAATATTCTGCTTCAACTCTTTACAAGGATTTCCAAAAGAACCAAACAAGATGCCACAGATATCTAATTATAAAAGGACCCTTAGAGCACCCAGTCAATCCTCTCCCTTTATATCTTCACTTTTCCCCATCCCTTAAAAAACTAACTTCATTTTCACATGCTTCACAAGTATGATGGCAGCTTCAAAGACTGGGCTTCCTTTAACACTAAATCTTAACTGCAGATAGATTCTTTCACAAGAGAAAATGAGAAAGAGCCACGCTTTCAGCAAAAAAAACAAAAACAAAAAACACTTTTTTGTTTTAGGTTTCTATGGTTTAGGCTTCTAAGAATGGCAAAGTATTTATGCAGTGAAGAGAAAGAAGAGACATGGTAATTCTCAATTACTTGAATGCAACTGGTATGCAGACTGCAGTATCTTTGAGTTGCTTCAGTGAACCCATTTGGTAATATAGGTTTAATGGTTATCCTTAGATCTCATATTGGATACCAACTCCCTGTTAGACTATCATCTCTCATACCATACAAACCTAGAACAAACAGCTATGAGCTCTAAAATAATACTCACAGGATTACAACACCAACAACTTACTTCATTCTGATGTTCTAAAATGCTAGCATGCCAGGCATGTTGATCTTCCTTTGATATGTTCCACTTTCTTGCCCTCTGCACTGCTTTTGGGAGACAATGATTTGGTAGATAAAAAGGGAACAATCAGGAGCTATAAAAAATGAGAAGGAAACCATATAAGTGCCATATACAACTATTAACTGAGTATTACTATGCAAGAGTTATATGAGAAGATTCAAATTAATGAGCTATAGAAAATGCCTGTACAACGCTTAGAAACATATAAAGTTGAAGCTTTTATTCAACAGAATAGAAAACTATGGCAAAGACAGAAAAATGTGTTGCCTAATAACACTAGAAACACCATCAAATCATAGTCTTATTCTCTTAGTTGAATAGTATGTACAAAATCTATTTAATCAAAGTTTACTACTTACTGAATGGTCATTTCCATCTTCCAGCCTACATCCCCCTAATCAGCTTCTCTTATCACTACCCTAGAGTATGCAAAGTCTTACCTGACAATAGAAACTTTATGTCATTTCTGGTCAGGCTCCATCAATCACCAAGTACAGCAGAAATGATATAACTCCTATTTATCTTCTCTAACAGCTTGTTTCATGTTTTATCCCAAAGACATCCTAAGGTATCTTGAAGTATGTAAACGATTGTCAAAATTCTCCAACGGGGCCTCAAGAAGGACTTTGGGGACCAAAGGATCCAAAATGACAATCTAACCATGATCAATGTCACAGACATGGCAGTTACTGCCCATGCTCTCCTAAAAGAAAGAACAATTTAGCTGTAAGTCTCTACCACACACTAGTCCCACGGTAAACATCCTAACTCATACAGACTGCTACTCTCTTAATATCATTTTCACCCATTTCACACCCAGTCACTTCCCAGGTTAGTAAGGAAGCTATTTTTACCATAGCAGACACAGTTGATAATGATGGAAACAAACTCAGTGGAAAGCTAAGTGCAATGTAATACAAGACCAAAATTAATAGCTATTCACCATGCCTTTAGAGACAACTTACCCACCTCTAATGTGTGGTGGTTGTTTTGAGACTTCATCTTCCTCCCTGGGCCCAAGGAAAAATCTGGGTAGTAGAACCTCCTGGCCTAGGGTTGTTGCCTAGTGGTAGTGAGCTTTTCCCCTGGAGGATCCTCATGCCCCATCTCCACCTAGGGATCGTCAAAGGGAACCGGTCACTAACACTGTAGAGCAACAAGCCTATTCTTCTGAGGAACATCTGGAGAAGAGATCAAAGAAAAATAAGTTACTGAAACGCAGAACACCAGGAAAGTCTCTCCCAATTAGCAACTAGTAGTTAAACTGTGTTTGCCTTTTTCTTCAGATGGATTGAGGAGTGAAGATTTAGAACTACATAGTTCTAATAGTGCTCTATTATCCTAGCTATGAGCCTAGCAACATGCAAATTCTTCTATTCATTCCAGCTCCATTCCTTGAACTTCCCCTCATCTCAAAGAGCAATTTAGAGCTGAATAAATCAGCAGAATTCCCATAGTGTGCTTTATTCTTCAGTCTCCACTGATGAGCATTTGTCTAAGGTGCATTATTAATACCCTGGTATTCTTATCATAAAATATAGTGAGGTTCAAGAAATCTAAGAGTTGAAAATAGAAGTTTCTCAACCAAGTGAGCCATCAAGTCAAAAGCTCCCATGTGATCTGACCCTATGAGTTCTTTAAGAATTCTTCTTCACGTTGCCTCAGGTTTCTTTTATAAGCACTATTTTAAGAACTGAACAACCTACCTCAATGAGAGTGCCTCTAGTTTTATAGCATTTCTCTCTTGTAACTCGTATGGCAAGCAGGAAGATGCTAGAATATTGCCAAGGTAAACAAAACTGTTTTCTACTCAATCTACATAGTACATTTCTTGAACAGCTTATATAAATGGGGCACCAGAGTCCCAGGATTTCAGAGAAATCAAGAATGGTTAAAGACATATAAAACACCAGTAAAGGGCAGCCTGGGTGGCTCAGCGGTTTAGCACTGCCTTCAGCCCAGGGCATGATCCTGGAGACCCGGGATCCAGTCCCACGTCGGGCTCCCTGCATGGAGCCTGCTTCTCCCTCTGCCTGTGTCTCTGCCTCTCTCTTTCTCTCTCTCTCTCTCTCTCTCTGTCTCTCATGAATAAATAAATAAATATTTAAAAATAAAAAAGTAAAACAGCTAAGCAAATATATGCAAAAGGAAAAACAATATACAGAAAGCTAGGAAACCAGTAAATAGCTTACACAGACTCTTGGGTCCCTGTTATTCTACCTCTCAACAATTTTATGGTTCTTCAAATTAAAAACCCTTAACTTTTTTATTTCTTGAGAGAAAGAATGAATGGGGGGAGGTAGGAGAGCAGGGAGGAGTAGTGGGAGAGGGGAGAGACAATTTTAAGCAGACTCCATGCCCAGTGCAGAGCCCAATGTAGGACTTGATCATTCTCATCACTCTGAGATCATGATCTGAGCCAAAATCAAGAGTCAGAGGCATAACCGACTAAGCCACCCAGGCGCCCCAATCCTCAACTTTTTATTTTTTTTTTATTTTTTTTCCTCAACTTTTTAAAACAAGGAAATGACAAAGACAAAGACAATAGAATTGGGCCTGCCAAAACAGGGCTATGACATATATTGAGTTGGTACTATGCATCAACAAATCTTCAACACTTAACTACCAGTCTGCCAGAGAAAAGTGGAAATGATTTCAATGCCTGCTAATCAGAAGGCATAGATTTGTTCAGTCTTTTCTAAGTAGCTATGACATGTGAAAGGAAGTAATATATTGTTTTGCATCTCTCGTTCTTTGTTTATGAAATGGGGATCAAGTGTGCTTGCCCTTACAGACCTCACTGGAGCCTAGCTCTGAAGATTAAATGAAATAATAGGCCAAACTCATCTATAAAGTTAAAATATATATGGATATGCAAAAAAATAAAAGCACTGTAGGACTTGATAAAAACTGATCCATGCTGTTTTAAATGGTAGATTTAAACAGGAAGTTTAAGTCCATAAAGCTAAAGACGGAATTCCCATAATGATGAGCTTCCCAAACTATCTTTTTTTTTCCAGGTGGTCTGAAAGCCATCATCTTAAAAATTATTTGGAGCTTATCCAAATTCTCAAAAAGAAAGATCTGCTGAATGTGAAACTGCTACAGCTACTTGGAATCCTCAGGTTTCACATGCTCGGAATTTCCTTGAGAAGATAAAGCTCAGGAGGACACTAGAACTGCTGAGGAATCTTCAACAAAAGAAATTGGAAGCATTAACCTAAAGCATTAGATATTGGCATCTCCTATCTCTCCTCTTTAGACTGTTTGGTCTCCCTAAGGTCTTATAAGATCAAGTAAACCAAGTACACAATCCTGAAGGCACTTTGTTATGGTGTGTAAAGTACCAGGTATGGCTTCCAGATTCCTGATCAGGAATTCCCATTATAGGGGATCCTTGGGTGGTGCAGCAGTTTAGCGCCTGCCTTTGGCCCAGGGCGCGATCCTGGAGACCCGGGATCGAGTCCCGCGTCGGGCTCCCGGTGCGTGGAGCCTGCTTCTCCCTCCGCCTGTGTCTCTGCCTCTCTCTCTCTCTCTCTCTCTGTGTGATTGTCATAAATAAATAAATAAATAAATGGAATTCCCATTATAAAGACCTTTATATAAATATCAAAGAAGTTCTAACAACAGTATTTGAAAGATCACTTATTCAACTCTACTCTCTAGAGAAGATGTACAGTGAAGCCAAACCAGTGTTCTATGATGTTCTCAATATGAGCCCAATGGGCTTCAAAATCTCTTGGCAACATGTTCCCCATCCTTATCGAATTTAAAATTAGATACTTTATCCCCAAATTCGGGCTTCCAGTTAAACATGGCAGTTCATACATATTTATATGTATTTAGTCTGCTCCTTCCTGAAACCCCATTAATGATGGTAAATGGACGTTGTATGTACAAGTAAATGTACCAAAAGAATTTTTAAATTAATGGATTGAAGTACAAATTCATTTATACACACCCTAATTAAGATACCTAAAAGAAAATGACTATTCCACAGTCTCCTCAGATCTTCTGAGCCACTCTGAACCATATTTACAGAGTATGGTTGCTTTAGATCAAAGCCTTCTAGTTTTGTTATTATAGTGATTAAATATTCAAGATTCCTTTTCCCTAAGAGGTAATCTAAGGCCAGATAAAAATGGTTACATTTTGGAACTGATACAGAACCATGTATTAGAGTTCCTTATTCATTGACAAGAATTTTGGGACTGCTGATCACTCATCTCATAGCTGAACAAAATGTCAACATACATTAGACTTAAAAACCAAGTGGCATAGCTGGCCCGCTGATTCAAGTACTCCAAAACTGCCAAGCCACAGAATCATCACAGCTAAAAAGGGTATTATGATCATGTAATCAGACATTTAATTCTCTACATAAAGAAACTGGGAGCCCTGAAGATGAGATTCCATCAATGTTATTTATACAACAAGTAAGTAGGTGGCCAGTACCTAAACCCAGATTGTCTCTCAGTTCAGGTCTTTTGCCCCTGAGATATGGGCAAGGCTACTCAGGGGTATAGGAGGTTTCTATAAAATTTTTTACCATATTTATATTTCATCATAAAAACAGTCTAGATCATCTAGATGACTACACTAAAAAAAGAAGAATTTCAGTGCCAGATTGGTGGCCAGCAGTACTACTTTTGTTGCCTGGAGCTTAAAGAAAAGAACAGAGGAAAACAATATATAAATGGGTTTTGTGCCATATGAAAAAATATAGCATTGGTATGTAGTACACAAGAGCTTACAGCAGCTTAAAAAGGCAATTTGGTTAAGGGCGTTAAAAAAGCACAAGAGAGATGGGATGCCTGGGTGGCTCAGTGGTTGAGTGTCTGCCTTTGGCTCAGGGCATGATCCCGAAGTCCAGGAATCATGTCCCACATCAGGCTTCCTGTGTGGAACCTGCTTCTGTCTCTGACTCTCTCTCTGTGTGTATCTCTCATGAATAAATAAAATCTTTTATTTAAAAGTTTAATCAAATTACAGCAAAATAGTAATTGTAGGATCTAAGGGGTGAACATGTTGGTGTTCACTAAACAAATCTTTCAACTTTTCTGAAGATATTCATAATTAATTTTGGAAGGAAGAAAGGAAAAATGTGAGGCAGCAGCTCCCTACTGTCAAACTTGTTATACAGATTTCAGAAACAGCGTCTCAAATATTTGACATAAATATTAAAATTATGCCCAATACAGATTTATATTATTTTGCTACTACTCTATATGCAATACCTGTGACATTAATCAGAACACTTTAAAATCAGCATACCCATTAGCTTGAATAAAATCAAATAAAATTAAACTGTTGAAAATTGCATTTGAATTACATGTTGCCAAGAAATAAATCTACTCCTTGAATCTTATATTGGTACTTTGGAAAAGTAGCTGGAGCTCACTAAATGGATTTTTCCCTACCTCACATAAGAACACATCTTTCTCCTCCCTCCCACCTCAGTGTTCTCAAGGTACTGTAACTATCAGAAAAAAACTGAGAAAATAAATGCATAACCAAGGAACGGATTACCTAAGTGTATCAAAGCAATTTAATCTGAAAATGAGGGGCAAAATGTGGATATTGGGATAGATCCTAGTTTTTAAGAAAGGTTTGTTTCTGGAACCTATTGTATGTTTCAAAACTAGGACAACCAGTTAGCATAAAACAGTCATTTTTAGTTTCAGGAGCTTTTAATCAACCTATAGCTAAAATCTCCCTAAATCAACCCATAGAGGCAACTGTCAATGTTCTCATCTACCCTACATGAACATAAAAAAATCTCCCAACAAAGCCAGGCTGCTGGGAGTGGAAAGTAACAGATAAGCAAAGAGAGGAAACTATAACAATTCATGGGGTAATGGGTTAGAGTTGGAAACAACTGTATAAACCCATGGTTATCTTAAAATGAAGATTACATATATAAATATTAATAAATACATGCATATGGGTTAATATGCATGTGTATATTTCCTCAGTCTCATCAACTCAGAAGGTTTTGAAGCCATGACACCCAGGAGCAATGAGCACACATAACACTCACATCTTGATTTCTAATACTGTTCTCCAATAAAAAGAATCAGGACTCCTTGAAGAAACAGTAGATCCTAGAACTGGGATAAGAGACAAACAAATGAGCCTAGACCATCTTGGTAATGTCAGAAAGTAAGAAAATGCTCAATAAGGATGGGGTTATGTTCAATCAGTCAACTGAAAGAACTCCCAAAGGCCAAAGCTAGAACACTCTGAACAAAAATAAGTAATAATGAATTATTATCTAAAATATAAAATAAATATTCATGAGTCCATATTGCTATAAATGAATTATCAAATAAGTACATAAATTAAGGAAGAAAAGGCACATTTCCTGTGCAGAAGAATTCCAAATAACTTATGTAGACCCTAACCATCAAAGAGGTGGAATACAACTTCCCATTCTTTTTTTTTTTTTTTTTATAAATTAATTTTTATTGGTGTTCAATTTACCAACATACAGAATAACACCCAGTGCTCATCCCGTCAAGTGTCCCCCTCCGTGCCCGTCACCCATTCACCCCCACCCCCCGCCCTCCTCCCCTTCCACCACCCCTAGTTCGTTTCCCAGAGTTAGGAGTCTTTATGTTCTGTGTCCCTTTCTGATATCTCCCACACATTTCTTCTCCCTTCCCTTATATTCCCCTTCACTATTATTCATATTCCCCAAATGAGTGAGAACATACACTGTTTGTCCTTCCAGCTTCCCATTCTTTAAGTACATAGTGGCTTCCCTTCAAATACAGTATGGGAAAGGAAAAAATAATTTTATATGTTTAGTGGAGAAACTTGGCAAACAGTACCTTAGCCAAATGATAATAGTCAACATCAACAGTGATATGTCATATTGATAGTATGTACTTGAGAAAAGAAGAATGGCAGTGTACTGCTATGGTCTTGTTCCCAAAAACTGAAGCCCAGTCTAATCATGAGAAGAACATCAGACAAATTCCAATATAGGGACATTCTACAGAATATTTGACCATTAGTCCTCAAAATGGTCAATGCCATTAAGAATAAGGAAAGTCGCCCCGCTGCAGACCGCTCGCCGAGCGCTTCGTAGGGCTCCGGGTGCTGCGAGCCGACGCCAGAAAGCCTGAAAAGCCATCATGGCAGCGAAGCCCAAGCTCCACTATCCTAATGGAAGAGGCCGGATGGAATCCGTAAGATGGGTTTTAGCTGCCGCTGGAGTCGAGTTTGATGAAGAATTCTTAGAAGCTAAAGAACAGTTGCAGAAGTTGCAGAAGTTGCAGGATGGTAACCACCTGCTGTTCCAACAAGTGCCCATGGTTGAAATTGATGGAATGAAGTTGGTGCAGACCCGAAGCATCCTCCACTACATAGCGGATAAACACCACCTCTTTGGCAGGGACCTCAAGGAGAGAACCCTGATTGACATGTACGTGGAGGGGACGCTAGATCTGCTGGAACTGATTATCATGCATCCTTTTCTAAAACCAGATGATCAACAAAAGGAAGTGGTTAACATGGCCCAGAAGGCTATAATTAGATACTTTCCTGTGTTTGAAAAGGTTTTAAGGGATCATGGGCAAAGGTTTCTCGTTGGTAACCAGCTGAGCCTTGCGGACATTATTCTACTCCAAACCATTTTGGCTCTAGAAGAGAAAATCCCCAATATCCTGTCTGCATTTCCTCACCTCCAGGAGTTTACAGTGAAAATAAGTAATATCGCTACAATTAAGAAATTCCTTGAACCTGGCAGCAAGAAGAAGCCTCCTCCGGATGACATCTACGTGAGAACTGTCTACAATATCTTTATGCCATAAACATCACATACATCTGAGTGAGAGCTAGCCCCTAGAGATTGCAGTTCCACAGTAGCATCTTAATTGATGCCAGGCTGCCCTGATCCCAGCTCTGTCATGGTGCTATGTATAACTGTTCCTCAGTTGGGTCTTTCATGTCAAGATCTTTTCTAGAAACATTGACCTTTTGTTTAACTTGTTAAATTCAGTGGATCAGTAAGTCTCAAACATATACTTGAGATCCAACTTGAGTTCGATTTCTAGGGACACCAGTGTTAAGTGCTATTTGTCTAGAGTATGTCTCAAAACTACGGTATTGAGAAAATCAAGTTTTCATCTAAGCCAATCTGTAAGACTTGGGGCAGAAGGCATTAGCTCTGTTTAACCATACACATCAATAGTCTTTGCAATCTAAACATATAAGAATTGGGGAACAGCACACTCAGTTGAGGTATAAGTTTTCTTCTCTTTACGCTGGCAAAAAAATTCTCCCAGGACACTTTCACAAATAAGAATATTTTAGCAGATCAACTTTTAAAATTCTTTACTTAGGGCAGCCCAGGTGGCTCAGCGGTTTAGCGCTGCCTTCAGCCCTGCGTGTGATCCTGGAGACCCGGGATCCAGTCCCATGTCAGGCTGCCTGCATGGAGCCTGCTTCTCCCTCTGCCTATGTCTCTGCCTCTCTCTCTGTAGGTCTCTCATGAATTAATAAATAAAATCTTTTTAAAAAAATAAAATAAAATTCTTTACTTAAGTCAAAAACTCCCGTACAGGTATACACTTGCTAACCAGGGCCCAGATATCCTGAAAAGAAATTATGAATGTTCAGCCATAGCAGTCCTAGGTCTTATTATCTTCTACAATTTAGGGAGGTGGCTAGAGAAATATGTAGATAAGTTACAAAAAGATACATAGAAAAACTAAAGGGGGATATGGGAAAAAATGCACAAAACCAGGGTCAGAAAACTTCCTCCAATCCTGTATATTAAGGTTCTATAATGAAGAAAGTCAGAAATGAAAACATAATAACCACTTAAGAGAAATGCCAAAAAAAAAAAAAAACCTTAAATGCCTTCAATTTTCCAAATGACAAAATGTCATTTTCAGGGATTGAGATAATCAAAGTCTCTGTCTTAATTCATTAGCCATCCCTAGACACTGAAGTTTCAGTGTATGGTGATTTGAACAAGGATGAAGTCAGAATCAAATACTAGGTGTTCTTATTCTCAGTTCAGAACTTACTTGGAAGTTTGCCAGTATCTCATTCCTTCTGACCCCAAATCCATGAAAAAAAAAAATAGTGACTCACTCTAGGGGCACCTGGGTGGCACAGTCAGTTAAACATCCAACTCTTCGTTTCATTGCAGGTCGTGATTTCATGTTGGTGGGATCAAACCCAGGTCAGAACAAAAAGACATTAAAGGCATTCAAATTGACAAAGAAGAAGTCAAACTCTCCCTCTTCGCTGATGACATGATACTCTACATAGAAAACCCAAAAGGCTCCACCCCAAGATTGCTAGAACTCATCCAGCAATTTGGCAGCGTGGCAGGATACAAAAGCAATGCCCAGAAATCAATGGCATTTCTATACACTAACAATGAGACTGAAGAAAAAGAGATTAAGGAGTCAATCCCATTTACAATTGCACCCAAAAGCATAAGATACCTAGGAATAAACCTAACCAAAGAGGTAAAGGATATAGATTACCCTAAAAACTATAGAACACTTCTGAAAGAAATGGAGGAAGACACAAAGAGATGGAAAAATATTCCATGCTCATGGATTGGCAGAATTAATATTGTGAAAATGTCAATGTTACCCAGGGCAATTTACACGTTTAATGCAATCCCTATCAAAATACCACGGACTTTCTTCAGAGAGTTAGAACAAATTATTTTAAGATTTGTGTGGAATCAGAAAAGACCCCAAATAGCCAGGGGAATTTTAAAAAACAAAACCATATCTGGGGGCATCACAATGCCAGATTTCACGTTGTACTACAAAGCTGTGGTCATCAAGACAGTGCGGTACTGGCACAAAAACAGACACATAGATCAATGGAACAGAATAGAGAACCCAGAAGTGGACCCTCAACTCTATGGTCAACTAATATTCGATAAAGGAGGAAAGACTATCCACTGGAAGAAAGACAGTCTCTTCAATAAATGGTGCTGGGAAAATTGGACATCCACATGCAGAAGAATGAAACTAGACCACTCTCTTGCACCATACACAAAGATAAACTCAAAATGGATGAAAGACCTAAATGTGAGACAAGATTCCATCAAAATCCTAGAGGAGAACACAGGCAACACCCTTTTTGAACTTGGCCACAGTAACTTCTTGCAAGATACATCCACGAAGGCAAAAGAAACAAAAGCAAAAATGAACTACTGGGACTTCATCAAGATAAGAAGCTTTTGCACAGCAAAGGATACAGTCAACAAAACTAAAAGACAACCTACAGAATGGGAGAAGATATTTACAAAAGACCTATCAGGGGATCCCTGGGTGGCGCAGCGGTTTAGCGCCTGCCTTTGGCCCAGGGCGCGATCCTGGAGACCCAGGATCGAATCCCACGTCAGGCTCCCAGTGCATGGAGCCTGCTTCTCCCTCTGCCTATGTCTCTGCCTCTCTCTCTCATTCTGTGTGACTATCATAAATAAATAAAAAATTAAAAAAAAGACCTATCAGATAAAGGACTAGTTTCCAAAATCTATAAAGAACTTATTAAACTCAACACCAAAGAAACAAACAATCCAATCATGAAATGGGCAAAAGACATTAACAGAAATCTCACAGAGGAAGACATAGACATGGCCAACACGCACATGAGAAAATGCTCTGCATCACTTGCCATCAGGGAAATACAAATCAAAACCACAATGAGATACCACCTCACACCAGTGAGAATGGGGAAAATTAACAAGAAAGGAAACCACAAATGTTGGAGAGGATGTGGAGAAAGGGGAACCCTCTTACACTGTTGGTGGAAATGTGAACTGGTGCAGCCACTCTGGAAAACTATGTGGAGGTTCCTCAAAGAGTTAAAAATAGACCTGCCCTATGACCCAGCAATTGCACTGCTTGGGATTTACCCAAAGATTCAGATGTAATGAAACGCCGGGACACCTGCACCCCAATGTTTCTAGCAGCAATGTCCACAATAGCCAAACTGTGGAAGGAGCCTCGGTGTCCATCGAAAGGTGAATGGATAAAGAAGATGTGGTTTATGTATACAATGGAATATTACTCAGCCATTAGAAATGACAAATACCCACCATTTGCTTCAACGTGGATGGAACTGGAGGGTATTATGCTGAGTGAAATAAGTCAGTCGGAGAAGGCCAAACATTATATGATCTCATTCATTTGGGGAATATAAATAATAGTGAAAGGGAATAGAAGGGAAGGGAGAAGAAATGGGTAGGAAATATCAGAAAGGGAGACAGAACATAAAGACTCCTAACTCTGGGAAACGAACTAGGGGTGGTGGAAGGGGAGGAGCGTGGGGGGAGGGGGTGAATGGGTGACGGGCAGTGAGGGGAGCACTTGACGGGATGAGCACTGGGTGTTATTCTGTATGTTGGCAAATTGAACACCAATAAAAAATAAATTTATAAAAAAAATAAATAAATTTATTTAAAAAAAAAAACCAGGTCAGGCTCTGTGCTCAGAGTGGAATATGCTTGCGTTTATCTCTTTTTTTGCCTTCTGCCCCCACCCCCATGTTCTTGCTCTCTCTGGAATAAATAAATAAATCTTAAAAAGTGATCGCTATTTAAGAAAATATGTGCTTCATTAAAATGCATTTGCAAAAAGCAAGAAATACTACTGGCTTAGTGTTTGTAAGCCCTCAGCTTATGTACTTTATCAGCAAACTGACCAAGGTGCTCCCCTAGCCATCACTTTATTCAGTAACTGTGTTTCCTCCACTCTTCTTCCTCTGTGCCCCATAGAATTTCCCAACATTTTTATAGTATACATCAAATTGCCCAATACCATAATGATCTGTTCATTTTGGCATCCTCCTTAACAGGAATCATGTCTTTGGTTTTGTTATTTATTCCAGTGTGTGACCCAATAAAGTTTGTTAACACAAGGATTATTTCAATTTTGAAGATGTCCACATTTCCAGAGCATTCCATTTTACAAATGCTAGACTTTATCTCAAGCAATGAATTGAAATACAACTCCAAGATTCACCTTTGGATGATGCTGTCTAGTGCAGGCTTCAATCCACTTAAAATTGATCCATCCTTCCTCTTGAATGGGGGTACAGAACCAGCTCAGAATTCATCCCTTTAAAATAAATTCCAATAAATATAGTTGTATATTAATACAGAATAATTTGATTAGTAACAATAAAAGATCTCATAGGCATAAACCAGTGTTTCTCAATTTGGGGTGATAAGAACCCTGGGGTTTGTGGATATATCCTCATGGATTCCTAAATCCTATATAAATTATATAAAATATTGTATATCTTTAATAAAGATACCTTAAAACTGGAAAACATGTTTACATTTCAAATAACTTTAAGTCAGTGTTCCTCAAAACATATATTCTCTAGTATCTCAAAAAATGTTCCTTTAAGAGGCATTTTATCCTGACAAATTACTTCAGTTTGAGAAACAATGGCATAGACCACATTTCCAAGGCTCATGGCCATTTGTATACTGCCCCCAATCAGTAAGACCAGGAGATGTCTTTAGATACTGGTGGAAAAGGAGCCATGAGGAAATATGGATATGAATTAAAATGAGCAGTAAGACATGCCCCACTTAATATGGTTCTTATTCTTGCCAGGATGCATGGATGTACACCAAAAAGTGTCTCAAGTTTCATGTTAATATTTTTTTCAGCTGGACTCTGTATTTTACATCAGGGAGGCTAAACTTTTTAGCTTATCAAGGTATCCATTGACAAAGGTGAAGAGGAAAGGGTATAATTAACTCCATAAGTGGGCAATGTCATGGCTTTCTTATAAAACTTACACTTCTCTATTGCCTTCTTGCGAAACAGGTTCCAGAAATATCTCAAACTAAAAAGGCATTACTACTGTTTTGTAGCAGAGATAGAATAAAAAGATACAAAAAGCCAACATATCAAAATTATACCCCCGACCCCTGAACCTTGAAAAATTCAAGCTTGTAATGAGATTTAACAATGAACAATTTCCCAGCCTTGTCATATAGCCAAATACAACAGCGAGGCTTTATCTCTTCACTTTTCATACTTCCAAAAGAGGTAAAAACCAAATTACATTAAAATAAACCAAATGGACTACATATATGGCTGCAATAAAGTACACCCACCTCACTCTTTAAGTTTATCCAACTAACTTCAAACCTTAGTGAGCTCCCTTTTTAAAACTTTATAACTTACAATTCACACACTGCAGCACTTGATTACCATTTCCTAAAGGTATTTCAAGTGTGCTTATATTAGCTCCTCAGCAATACACCAGCGCAAGAATGAGGTTATATAGGACCACATCGTTTCTACCCCTCACTTCAGTGTGACCTAGCATAGGGCAGGGTATACAATATCTGCTAACTCATATGGTGATATATTTTATATACATATAAATATATATAATTGCAGATGAGGTAGGAACAAGGAAGGAAACTTACAGGAGGACCCTCTGACTTTTCTACACTAGCATTTAAGAGAAAGAAAATAGAACAGGAGAAAGATTACTTAATAGCTACAAAGTAGTACTTACAGTATTCTAAACAGCCAGAGACTCTTCTCACAGCTGTCCAAGGAGCTAGTAGTGCATACTGCAACGCTGAGCTGGGCGGATCTTTTGACATCCTTGTCAGAGGAATAGTATTCTTTTTCAGTGATTACAAAGAACTGCTGTTGTGATAACTAGTTATTTGCTTCAGCAGTTCCATATTAGACACTTCTCTGCCACACCCTGCACACTAGAGGCTAGGATATTATTCATTTTACCAGGAAGCTATCTCACTGTTGAAATTTATGTCCAGAAGAATGATTAGATCTTGGCTTATTTTTCCTTTAATACATAACAGGGAAATTGGTCCCATCATTTCTAAGTACTCGCTTCAGTGTAGTGCTACGGCTACTTTAAATTAGCAGAATTAAACAAGATACATTTTATTTATGTAATACATTAATCAAGGTGAACTATGGTTTTCAAAAGTGCCTCAGCATATGTTCTCTCATTTCATTCTTTTACAGCAATCTTCTTGAAATAAGTGAGGGGGGGGAGGTTGATGCTCCAGATGAAGAAATTTAAGGATTAGAAAGTTTAGGTAGTTTTTCTAAAAGCGAATGGTGGTAAAGCCCAAATAATGATTTTTAAGTGGTGGTAGAGCCTAAAGATATATGTCTTAAGAGTTCTACTCTAGAACTCTTGGGAATATTCACAGTGTGTATCCACAGACCCACCACCCTCAGTAAAATGAGACACTAGTCATCAGGTACACGGTATAAATGGGTTTTTGGACTTCGAAAATTAAATGACCAGGTTTACAATTCCATCTTGCAAACAGCATTTTATTGTACCTGGCAACAGGCACTGTAAAATAGCAATATACAAGAGGAGAAGAGAGATTCTTGGCCAGGCAATCTGCTCTGGAAGGAAGAATGCACAGATGGTGCTAACCTTTCTTCCTGGGTAGACAATTTTCAACTGATACTTATATTGAAAATCCAAAATAAAGAGTGGCAATCCACCTTTCTAGGCCTGACTTGCCTTGAGCATTTTGCTCAGTAAAGTAGTAACAGAGGTGGGCAGGGACAGTTCCTGTCCCAGAATGTGACAACTGGAATCGGGATCATTAACAAATGCAGAAAAAGGAGTGAAGGCCCATCCACCTAATTCAGGTCTGCTTTCGGTAGTCAATGCTGCACATAACATCAAAGTGGTAGGAAAATCTTGGGCTGATGAGATGAAAAATGTGATAATCAGCACTGTGTTAATAACACAGAAGGACTTTGGGTAGTCAGCACTACTCAGAAGTAATGCAAAGAAATGGAGGGGTCCATGTCTGATGGCTGGGACCAAGGAAGGTACAACTGAGGCATTACAGCAATATAAAGTGGGTAAGGCAATGACAGCAGGGATTGTTAATGTTTTAAGTCCAAGAGAAGGGCCCTACCCAGTAAACATTCCCCAGCAATAATGCAAAAGGGGCAGGGGGTTGGGGGGGGGGGACAATCTTATTTCATGGCTGAATACATGAACACTTGAAACTGTGAGAATAGTCCATAAGAAGTGTCCAAGCGTGAGCGTGGGGAAAAGGGAAGATAAAGGGAAGACCATGACTTATTTGGAATTTTATACATAGGGCAATACAAAAGGAGAGGGAATATGAGTTGCTATTTGACAGACAAGTTCTCGGCATATTACAATGTTTATACTCTATCATGCCATGCAGATGGGAGTGTTTGCCTAATAAGGCCAGGAAGGAAAAACCCATTGCTAATGCCATTGTGCCCATTAACAATCCCAGGGGAAGTTTTGTGTGGTCAGCAACCCCTGAAGTAATGCAAAGGGGGTATAAGGGAACATTATTCTAAATCTAACAGAAGGGAACATAGATAATTGCCCACTGACAGCCCAAAAGAGAGGGGCCCTAGTACCCTTAAAATATACAAAGGGGGTACATAGGTCCCATCATTGCTAGTGGTGCATATCAACTGTCCAAGAGCTGAGGTCATGACAGCACTCCTCAGCAACAATCCAAAGGCAGTGGTAGGGGCATAGAACATCCTTTCACACTGCACAGATCCACAAACAAATACAAGTATGTATATAAATAATCTTGAGAAGAGCTCATTTATGGTTAACATACCCCTGGTGCAAAAGTTGTTTGAGTGGATGCAATCCTAGTCCATTAGAAAAGATAGACAATTGCAATTATACACATTAAAGTCCAAAAGAAAGGGCATTAGGTAAATAGCATCTCCTTACTCCAACTCAGACGGTACAGGGGTTCTAGCATAAGGCGTTCTTAGCAAACTACATTTACACATGAACTTTTCAAGTGAAAGAGTCTTAAGTAGTGGACACTACCTGCTGAACACGCTAAGAAGTAGGTAGGGTCCTTATTGAGTGCACAAAACAGGAAAAAATCCAATGGCACATATTAATGTCAAAAGAGGACCTTAGTTGATCAACACACTCTGCTGTACTGCAAAGGGTAGGTGAGGCTGTAGGACAACAGATAATTTCAATTATGAATTTTAGCAGTTTGCTAGAAGGAACTTTGGGAGAAAATAGTATTCCCTGCAGCAGTGCAAAGAGGTATGAGTTCTGGAAGTGATAAGGTTGTGGAAAACTACAAACTCTGCACATTAACTATCCAAATGTAAATGTCTTAGCAGTGGGCACCACCTACTGGAAGGCTTAGAAGTAGGGGTGGGGGGATGTCTCCCCATCTAGTGCATAAAAACCCAGACAAATACAATTATGCACATTAATAGGAAAAGTGAGGGGCCAGCAACCATGGTATATTGCAAATACATACAACAGGGTAGGATGAACTAAACTCCAATTATGTACATTAATGCTCAAGGGATATGGTATGGTTAATTAAAACCATGTACCTTGGGATCCCTGGGTGGCGCAGCGGTTTGGCGCCTGCCTTTGGCCCAGGGCGCGATCCTGGAGACCCAGGATCGAATCCCACATCGGGCTCCCGGTGCATGGAGCCTGCTTCTCCCTCTGCCTGTGCCTCTGCCTCTGTGTGTGTGTGTGTGTGTGTGTGTGTGTGTGTGTGTGTAACTATCATAAATAAATGAAAATTTAAAAAAAAAAAACCATGTACCTTGTACAAATATAAGGAACTCAAAGTAACGGGCACTCCCTGCTAAAAGGTAAAGGGAGTGGGGAGAAGGGTGTCCTTATTTAGTGTACAAGACCATGTACAAATACAATCAGGCATAATCACAAGCCATGAAAAAAGGACTTAGTGACCAGTATCCTTGCTTTATTATAAAAGGGGTCTGAGACAGTAGTACCTTATTCGATGGAAGGAGCCATGTGCAATTAGGCACATTAATGTCCATGGTGCATAGCTGTGGTCAGTTACAGTTGTGTTCCTTGACTGTTCAAGTGTGTAACAGCCTTGTAGAGGGGCCACTCCCTGCATAATATTAAATAAAGGGAGTATGGAGAGGTGTTCTTCTCTAGTACACAGAAATCCAGACAAATACAATCATGCACCTCAACAGGCCAAGAAATGGGGACGTTATGGGTCAGAATTCTCTGTAGTACTTCAAAGGCAGTGTAAAGGGGAAGAATCCTAATGTAACTGTTACCATGCACATTAACTGTTTGAGAAAGGGGCCTTAAATTGACAGTATCCCATGCAGTAAAGCTTAGAGGCTGTGAAGAGTCAGGGACCCAAGTTAACTCAAAGGACAGTGGACAACTGAAACTACACACATCCAGAGTCCCAAGAGAAAGGCTCTAAAGTGATCAGTCACCTCTGCTTCAATAAGTGCAAAGTCCTGAACTAAAAGGCACAGTTATGGACAACTGAATATGTACAAGACAAGGAAGGTTGTGCACATTAACTGTTTTAGTATATAAAATCTTGAGTAGTAGGCACCTCCTGCTAGAATATCAATAGTATGGGGAGGATCCTTACCTGGTGCACAGGTAAGAGCAAATGTAAGTATGCACATTAACAGTTCAAGAGAGTGAATCTTGGCTAGTCGAAAGCCCCTGCAATAATGTAAATGGGGCAAGGAGATGAGATCCTATTCTAACATAAGGGAGCATGGATTACCATAATTATGCACATTTAAACTGTGTAGGGAAAAAAAATAAACTGTGTAGGAAAAGCAGTCATAGTTGGTCAACACCCCTGACACGGAGAAGGTGTGAAGGGGCTGGGATTCTAGTGCAATTGGGCACATTAACTGTCCAACAGAAAGACTTCAGGTGGTCAGTACCCTCTGGTATAGTACTAAGAAGTAAGGATATTAGCTTATCAAGAGGGCATATGCACATCAAGAATCCCAAGACAAGAACTTTGAGATACCAGCATTCTCTGATGTAATATAAAAAGAGTGGGAAATTAATTTGAAGAGAAGGATTTTGCACACAAATAGTTCCAGAAAAAAGTGAGGTAATTAATACAAAGAGAGTACAAGGAACTTAAATGAAAGACACAGTGTGGTCAATTACCATGGTTCACTTTATCCTAGTACAAAGGTCTTAAATAAAGTGCATCCACTGCTGAATATAAGGGAAATTAGTGAAATCTTATCTAGTGCAGAGAAAAAGGAACAAATGCAATTATGCACTTTAACAATGCACAAAAGGGGGGGGGCTTGGTGTTCAGCATCCCTTACCATAATACTAACAGGGTGTGAGTGGGATACACCTTTAATAGTCCCAAGTATCTTCTGTGGTAATGCAAAGGGAGTTGGGGGAGATGGAATGAGATCATAGACTTAAAAAGGAACCACTGTTGTAACTCAACACAAAAACTGTCCCAAGTACTTTCCCAAGTAATGTAAAAGGAGTTAGAAGGCATGAGATCCTAGACTAAGAGAAGGGGACCAAACCTGCATTTAAGCACATTCATAGTCCCAAGTACTCTGGGTAATAATCCAAATGAATTTGAAGAGCATGGAATCCCAGACCAGCGGAAAGGACCACACCTGCAAATGGGACCTTTAACAGTCCCAAAAAGTAGAGGGGATGGGATCCTGGACCACAGCTGCAATTAACACCTTAACAGTCCCAAATACTTTCCCAGGTAATGTAGAGGGGGTGGGAAGTCCTGGGATCCTAAATTACAAAAGGGACCACAGCTGTAAATAAGCACTTTAACAATTCCAAGTACTCTGTGCTATAATGCAAAGACAGAGGTACATGGAAAACTATACTAACAAGGGAACCATGGCTAAAATTAAGCAGTTTATCTGTCCCAAATATACCCCCAGATAATGTAAAGGGAGCTGGTGGGCATGATATCCTACAGGACAGAAAGTACCATAGCTGCAGCAGAGCATTTGACAGGTCCAAGTACTCTCTGCTATAATACAAAGAGAGTTGGAGGTATAGGAATCCTAAACTAACAGAAAGGAACACAGCTGTGATTAAGCATATTTCGGTACCAAATCTGCTCCCAGCTAATATAAAGGGAGGAGGTGGTCATGACTAGCAATATGGATCACACCTGTACTTAAGCACATTAACAATACCAAGTACCATCTGCTGTAATACAAAGGGAGTTAGAGGGCATTGGATCCTAGACTAACAGAGGGCACCATAGCTGCAAATGAGCACTTAAACAGTCTCAAAAATCCTCCCAGGTAATGTAAAGGGAGTAGAAGGGGATGGGATCCTAAACCAATGAAAGTTACTACACCAGCAATTAAGTACTTTAACATCCCCAAGTACCCACTGCTATAATGCAGAAGAGTAAGAGGGCATGGGAAATTATAGACACACAAAAGGGACCACAGCTCCAACTGAGCATTTAAACAGTCCCTAATACATCCTTAGGTAATGCAAGGTGAGCTGGAGGATGTGGGATCCTAGGTTAATAAAAGGGATTAGGATTGCAATTAAGCCCATTAAAAGTCCCAAAGATCCTCTGCTGTAATGGAAAAGGAGTTAGAGGGCATGGGATGCTAGACTAACAGAGGGGAGCACAGCTGCAAATGAGCACATTACAGTCCCAAATCTGTTCTTGATAATGCAAAGGGAGTTGGAAGGGACTGGAAACTGGACTGACAGAAGGGACAACAACTGTAATTAAACATGTTAACATTCCCAAATCTCCCAGTAATGTAAAGGGAGAAGAGAATGAGGTCCTAGACTAACAGATGGGACCATACCTGCAATTAAATATTCTAACACCAAGTACCATCTGTTGTAATCCAAAGAGAACAGGAGGGCATGGGAAACTATACTAACAAGTTGTTCAATTTAGTGGTGCAGCCCCCTCTAACACTCCCAAAAATCCTCCCGGGTAATGTAAAGAAAGTAGGAAGAGATGGGATCCTAGGAATTACAGAAGGTACAAGAGCAGCAATTAAGCATTTTAACAGTCCCAAGGACCCTCTGTTGTAATGTAAATTGAATAGGAGGGCATGGGAAACTATACTAATAGAAGACACAACAGCTGCAATTAAGTGATACAACAGTCTCAAATACACTCCCAGCTAACACAAAGGCAGTTGGAGGGCCTGGGATACTAGGCTAACAGAAGGTACCATAGCTACAGTTAAGTCTATTAACGGTCCCAACGCCCTCTGCTGTAATACAAAGGGAGTTGGAGAATACTAGGATCCTCTAACAGAACCACAGGTTCCAAAATTAAACACATTAACAGTCCTAAGTAGCCTGTGCTGTGTGTAGGAGTTGGAAGACACAGGACCGCAGACTAACAAAAGGGACCACAGTTGTAAATGAGCACAATTTAGTAGTCCCAAATCCACTCCTAGGTAATGCAAAGTGAGTAGGAAGGGATGGGACCCTCGACTAAGAAAAGGGACCACAGTTGCAACTAAGCCCTTTTAACAGTCCCAAAGACAATCCTAGGGAATATAAAGGGAGTTAGAGGATAGGAGATCCTAGACTAACAGAAGGGACCATAGCTGTAATCAAACACCTTAGAGGTCTGAAGTACCCTCTGTTGTGATGCAAAGGAAGTAAGAGGGCGTGGGAAACTAGATTAACAGAAAGGATTGTAACCACAATTAAGCACATTCACAGTCCCAAATGTCCTGTCATAGAATGTAAAGGGAGTAAAAGGGGATTGGCATCCTAGACCACAAAAGGCACCACAGCTACATTTAAGGACTTTTAGGTGCCAAGTACCCCCTGCTGTAATGCATAGGGAGTTGAAGAGGATGGAATCCTACAAACATAAGGGACAGAGCTGCATTTAAGCACATTAACAGTCCCAGGTACACTGCTGTGCTAATGCACACTGCTGTGCTAATGCAAAGTGAATAGAAGGGGATGGGATCCCAGATTAACAGGAGGGATTGTAGCTATAATTAAGTCCCAAGTACCCTCTGCAGAAATGCAAAAGAAGCAGGAGGGAATTGGATCCTAGACTAACAGAAGGTACCATAGCTGCCTTTTAAGGACCTTAAAGATCCCAACTACCCCCTGCTGTAATGCACAGGGAGTTGAAAAGGATGGAATCCTACAGGAACATAAGGTACGGGAGCTGAATTTAAACATATTTACAGTCCCCTGTACCCTCTGCAGTAATGCAAAGCAAGTAAGAGGGGATGGGATCCTAGACAAACAGAAGGGACTTATAGCAGCAATTAGGCACACTAACAATCCCTAGCATCCTCTGCAGCAATGCAAAGTAAGAGAGGATGGGAACATTAACAGAAGGGGCCATAGCTGAATTTGAGCGCCTTTAAAGTCCCAAGTACCCTCTGCAACAATGCAGTTAGGTGGGGACCGGGTCCTAGATTAACAGAAAAGATATTAAGCACATTAACAATCCCTGTACCGTCTGTGGTAATGCAAACAGTGTGGAATGGAATGGGATCCTAGACTAACAGAAGAGATTGTAGCAACAATTAGGCACACTAACAGTCCCAAGTATCCTCTGCAGTAATGCAAAGTAGGAGAGGATGGGAACTTCAACAGAAGGGGCCAGAGGTGCATTTAAGCACTTTAAAGGTCTCAAGTACCCTATATGTAATGCAAAGTAAGTTAGGTGGGGATGGGATCCTAGACTAACAGAAAGCGCCATAGCAGAATTTTAGCACATTAAAGGTCCCAATTACCCTCTGCTGTAATGCATAGGGAGTTGGGAGTATAAAATCCCTACACTAACATATGGGCTGTAGCTGCATTTAAGCACATTAACAGTCCCATGTGCCGACCATGATCATGTAAAGGGAATAGGTGGGGATGGAATCCTAGTCGAACAGAAGGGACCATAACTACATTTAAGCATACTAATAATCCCTTGCACCCTCGGTGGTAATGCAAACCCTGTAGGAGGGGATGGGATCCTAGACAAACAGAAGGGATTATAGCAGCAATTAGGCACATTAACAGTCCCAAGTATCCTCTGCAGTAATGCAAAGCAGGAGAGGATGGGAACATAAACAGAAGGAGACACAGCTGCTTTTAAGCATCTTAAAGATCTCAAGTACCCTCTGCTGTAAGGCAAAGGAAGTTAGGTGGGGATGGGATCCTAGACTATCAGAAGGCACCATAGCTGTATTTAAGCACCTTAAAGGTCCCAAGTACCCTCTGCTGTAATGCATAGCGTGTTAGAATGGAATTCTACACTAACACAGGGGATCATAACTGCATTTAAGCACAGTAACAGTCCCAAGTACCCTCTACAATTATGCAAATGGATTAGGTGGAGATGGAATCCTAGGTTAACAGGAGAGACCTCAGCTGCCTTTAAGGCACATTAATAGTCCTTTGTACTTTTTGTGGTATTGCAACCCCTGTAGGAGGTTAGAAGATCCTAGACAAATAGAAGGGACTATAGCAGCAATAAGGCACAATTAGCAGTCCCTTGTACCTACTGTGGTCATGAGAACTCAGTAAGAGAACAAGATCCTAAATTAACAAAAGAGATAGTAGTTACATTTAAACACTTAATTGTCCCTTGTACCTTCTGTAACAATGCAAATGGTTTAGAAGAGGATGGGATTATAAACAAACAGAAGGGACTGCAGTGGGAATTAGGCACATTTACAGTCCCAAGTACCTTTGCAATGATGCAAAGGAAGTAGGAGGGGATGGGAAAATCACCTAACAGAAGGGCTATAGCTGCATTTAAGCACCTTTAAAATCCCAAGTACCCTCTGCTGCAATGCATAGGCAGTTGGAGAGGATAGAATCCTACACTAACTTAAGGGACCATGGCTTCATTTAAGCACATTAACAGTCCCGTGTCCGCTCCATGATAATGCAAAGGGAGTAGGTAGGGACGGGATCCTAGTCTAACAAAAGGGACCATAGTTGCATTAGAGCACATTAAGAGTCCCAAGTACCCTCTGCAATAATGCAAACAGAGTGAGGTGGGGACCAGGTCCTAGGTTAACAGAAGAGATCTTAGCTGCGTTTAAGCACATTAACAATCCCTTGTACCCTCTGTGGTAATGCACAGTGTGGAACGGAATGGGATCCTAGACTAACAGAAGGGATTGTGGCAAATTTTAGGCACACTAACAGTCCCAAGTATCCTCTAAGTTAATGCAAAGTAGGAGATGATGGGAACATATACTAACAGAAGGGACCAGAGGTGCATTTAGCACCTTGAAGGTTAAAACTACTGTAATGCATAAGGCATTGGGAAGGATGGAATTCTACATTAACATAAGGGTCTGTGGATGCATTTAAGTACATTAACAGTCCCATGTACCCTCCATGATAATGTAAAGGGAGTATGTGGGGATGGGTTCCTAGTCTAACGGAAGGGACCACTGCTATGATAAGTTCATTGACAGATTCAAGTACCCTCTGCAAAATGCAAAGAAAATTAGGTCGGGATGGGAACCTAAGTTAACAGAAAAAACAACAGCTGCATTTAAGCACCTTACTAGTCCCTTGTACTCTCTTTGGTAATGCAAACCATGCAGGAGAGGATAAGAATCTAGACAAACAGAAAGGACTGTAGTAGCATGTAGGCACATTAACAGTCCCAAGCAGCCTCTGCAGAAATGCAAAGGAAGTAGGAGATGGGAACAGAAACAGAAGGGGCCATATCTGCACTTAAGCACCTTAAAGGTCTCAAGTACCCTCTGCTGAAATGAAAGGAATTAAGAGTGCATGGGGAAACTAGGTTAACAGAAGGGACAAGGGCTGCAAGTAAGCTCATCAACAGTCCCAAATACCATCTGTTCTAAAACAAAGTAAGTCGTAGGGCATAGGATCCTAGACTAACAGAAGGGACTGTAACTACAGTTAAGCAAATAAACAGTCCCAAATGCCCTGCCATGTAATATAAAGGGAGTAGAAGGAGAATGGGATCCTAGACTAAGATGGCACCACAGCTACATTTAAGCACCTTAAAGGTGGCAAGTACCCTCTGCTATAATGCAGAGGGAGCTATAGAGGATGGAATCCTATATTAACATAAGAAACAGAGCTACATTTAAGCACATTAACAGTTCCACGTACACTGTCATTCTAATGCAAAGTGAATAGAAGGGAAGGGGGTCCCTAGGGAAGGGACCACAGCTAAAATCAAACGTATTAATAGTTCCAAGTAGCCTCTGCTGTGTGCAGGAGTTGGAAGGCAGGGGATCCCAGACTAACAAAAGAGACCACAGTTGCAACTAAGCACTTTTAACAGTCCCAAAAACAATCCTAGGGAATACAAAGGGAGTTGGAGGATAGGAGAATCTAGACTAATAGAAGGGACCATAGCTGTAATCAAACACCTTAGAGGTCTCAAGTAATGCACAGGGAGTTATAAAGAATGGAACCATACAGTGATGTAAGGAACCATAGCTGCCTTAGAGGACATTAACAGTCCCAAGTATCCTTTGCAGTAATTCAAAGGAAGTTTTAGATAGGAATTGGAACCCAGGTCAAGAGAAGAAACCATAGCGGCCTTTAAGTACAGTAACAGTCTCTCTTGCCTTCTGTGATAATGCAAATGCTGTAGGAGGGGATGGGATCGCAGACAAACAGAAGGGACTATAGTGGCAAGTGGGCACGTTAACAGTCCTAAGTAGCCTCTGCAGTAATGCAAAGTTAAGAGGGCATAGGAACATTAACAGAAGAGGCCACAGCTGCATTTAAGCACCTTAAAGGTCTCAAGTACCCTCTGCTGTAACGCAAAGGAAGTAGGAGTGCCTGGGAAACTAGATTAACAGAAGGAACTATAGCTGCAATTAAGCTCATTAATAGTCCCATTGTACCCTTCATGATAATGCAAACAGAGTAGGTGGGGACAGGATCTAACAGAAGGGACCTAAACTGCAATTATGCACATCAACAGTCCCAGGTACCCTCGAGAATAATGCAAAGAGATTTAGATAGGGAAGGGATCCTAGGTTAACAGAGGAGACCTTCGCTGCCATTTAAGCACATTAACAGTCCCTTGTACTCTGTAATTCAAACTCAGTAAGAGGGAGGGGATTGGGATCCTGGACAAACTGAAAGGACTCTGACAGCAATTATGCACACTACAGTCCCAAGTATCCTCTGTAGAAATGCAAAGGAAGTAGGAGGGGATGGGTTCCCAGACTAACATAAGGCACCATAGCTGCCTTTGAGGACCTTAAAGATCCCAACTACTCTCCTGTAATGCATAGGGAGTTGAAGAGAATGAAATCCCACACTAACTTAAGGGACAGAGCTGCATTTAAGCACTTTAACGGTCCCATGTACCCTTTCTGCTAATGCAAAATGAGGAGGAGGAGATAGGATCCTAGACTAACAGAAAGAATAATAGCTGCAATTAAGAACATTAACATTTACAAGTATTCAGTGCAGTAATGCAAAGTAAGAGGGGATGGGAACATAGACTAACAGAACTGACCATAACTGCCTTAAGCACCTTAAAAGGCCCAAGTAGCCTCTGCAGTAATCCAAAAGGAGTTAGGTGGGAATGGAATTCTAGGTTAACAATAGGAGACATTGGAGATCACAATTTTGCACATGAACAATTTTAAGGTAAGAGCCTTAGGTAATTAACACCTTTTAAGATGTAAAGATGGTGCAGGGTTCCTGATACAAAAAACACAGTCTAATCAATTAATAGTGTATACATATACTGTCCTAAGTGTATAGCTCCTGAGTAGTAAAGGTCCCCTGCTAAATTACAAAGGGAGTGGGTGTGGCTAGTTCACAGACCGTGTGCCAATGCAATTTGAAAATTATCAATTCAAGAGGATACTTGAGTGATCAGCCCACATTATAGTATGCAAATGGGATACAGTGGCCCTTTCAAATGGACAGGACTCTGCACAACTGCAACTGTGTAAATTAACTGTCCAAGAACTGAGTTTCTGAATAATCTGCACTCCCTAACAATATCCCAGAGAGGTTAGAATGAGGTGGGATTCCATTTTTTATTGCACAGCACCATGGACATATGCAATTATGGACATCAACTGTTTAAGAGAAGTGACCTTGGGTAATCAGAACTCATAAGCTATGGCATAAAGATAAGGTTATATCCCAGATTAACTGGTGGAACCATGGGAAATGAGGATTTTACATATTAATGCAAAGTGATAAGTAGTCTGTACTACCTAGGAGTAATGAAAAGAGCATGAGTGGGTCTTTTAGGCAGGACCATGAACAATAATGATTGTACTCATTAATATCCCAAAGTAAAGGACTTTGAGGATGAGCACCTCTGCCATAATGCAAAGAAGTTGCAAAGGACTTGTGTAATGAACAGGGGTATGGACAATTGGGGTTACACTCATTAATAAATCAAGGAACATGGTCCCAGGTAGTTAGCACTTCCTAGTAGCAGTGCCAAGGAGACTGAGGGTCACTGATCACTGGACAAGACAATGTACAATTTAAAACTGGTACTTTAATCCCAGAAGCAGGACAAACATGGTAGGGTGCCTTTGTTTACTAAACAAGGCTGATGCAACTGGGATGAGCATGTTAACTGTTTAAAGACTCATGTTTTCTGCAGCCACTCCTGAATTCAGCAAAAGGGTTTAGGACTGTGATCTTAGCCAATAGGTGGGATTATGGACAATTAAAATTTCACTCAGTGTAGTCTTCAGGTGATCAGCACAATATATGAACACTGCCCAGAGAACTGGGGCTGGGGTTACTGCAGCAATGACAGAGGAATGGTTTCTCCTTCCTCAAAGGCAGGGGAGAGATGATGAATAACCAAAATTATGAACAATGGGTGTCTGATATAAAACTCTCAACTAACACTTTCTAACATTAACACAAAGGTACATGGATTGTTTGTTCTAACATGGGATAGTGGACAAATGTAATTGTGTACATTAAAAATGAGGACTCAGGTAGTCAACTCATAAAATCAGCAATGCTAGAGGGAAAGAGGGTATTCAGTCTTATGGATGAGCAATGGATAAATTATTTTTAGCACCAAATCAATGCCAATTGGAATAACTTTAGGGTTAGGGGTGAGGGCTGGGGCTGGGGCTGGGGCTGGGTGGGCCGGGGCCGGGGCCGGGGCGGGGGCCGGGGCTGGGGCTGGGGCCGGGGCTGGGCCGGGCCGGGGCTGGGGCTAGGACTGGGCAGATGGGGCTAGTACTGGGCAACTAGCAGTAAGGCTGGGCTGGGGCAGGGCTGGACACAAGGCAGGGGAAGGGGTGGTGCTAGATGTGGGGGCATTGCTGGGAGCAGGGCTGGGGAGGATCTGGGGACTGTGGAGGCCAGGCACCACGGAAAATTGAAATTGTGGGCAGTTGACAATCAGTAATGGGAAGCGCTGGTGCTAGAGGTCGGGGCGGGGGTTGCTGGGAGCAGGGCTGGGGAGGATCCGGGAACTGTGGAGGCCAGGCACCACGGAAAATTGAAATTGTGGGCAGTTGACAATCAGTAATCTTTGACTAGAGGAACAAGACCACAGCAAGTCAAGTTTCCTGATAGAGAAGTTATTAATTAGTGCAGCCTTCAAGATGGGAACAAAGCAAGGCCTGGACTGGAGTGGGCCTTCAAATATTCCTTATTACATTTGATCAAGTTAAAATTTTAATTATTTCTGTGTCCTAAGACTTCAAAAATCCAAAAGGAAGTAGTTTATTAGGTCAATTTGAAAGTTAAAAAATAGTAAAAAGTTTTTAAATGCCAGTTTGACTTTGAATATCTAAAGCCCAAAAAATGTTTAAGCAATTTATAAAGAAGAAATTGAAAACTTTAAGTAATTTTAAGGAAACCAAAAATGAAAACTCATTAAATGTAATTGAATTCTACAAATAAGCTCCTAAATACATTCCCAGAATAGTCACTTAAAGCTTAAAACCAATACTAGCATACTACATAATCAAACCATGTAAGACTGACACCCAAGAAATAAATATAATCAAAATCCGACCCCAGCATTAGCCACGGGGTAGGTGTTCCTCTTGAGGAAGGTAGAGATTCCTCTTCTGCCACCTGTTGGCCAAGGATCATCGTGATCCATTTTGGTTCTTGCCAGGACTCACCACCAGGTTCACACCTGGCAGGCATGGAGCACTGCCCCTAGCCATATTGCAGAAGAGCAAGGGCGGGGGTGGGGGGCAGACTAGCCTTAGGCCATGGCACCAATGCAGAGAAATGGGGGTTAAGGTTCAGCCCATAGCCAAATATCCAACACTGCGAGAAGCTGGAGGGGAGGGAGCAAATTAGAGGGGAGGGAGCAAATTAGAGGGGAGGGAGCAAGTGAGAGGGGAGGGAAGTGGTAAAGACAAGTGTCCTTGGAAAGACCTTGGGTACCACCCACTGGGAGAAGACGTACAAACATGGCTCCTCTGCTTCCTCCTGACTGGCTGAATAAAGACGGCTGTGTGGTGCTATGCTAACTCACACAGTCTAATTCCATCCTCCAGTAATTGGCTATGCCCAATTCTACCACCCTTTCTGATTGGGTGGGTCATGCGGCAATCCAACATTGTCCATCCCACCTTTCTCTCACTTTTCGCGGCAAACACGACAATGCCCGCCATCTTTAACAATGCGGCAGGCCCACCTGGTGCAAAGCCCGCCAAGAATGTACCCGGCAAAAATCCCCGCCATGACGTCCACGTGACAAACTGCCATGATATCCAAATGACAAGGTCTGCCATATTGTCCCTGCGGCAAAACCTGTCAGGAAATGCACACGGCAAGACAAAAGCCCGCCATGTTTTACACTGCGGCAAGTACTCCAGCCGCCATCTTTTACTATGTAACAGAATATTTGCACCGCCATGCTGTGCACCAGAACAAAGACACCACCATGATGTGGCCTTCCCGCCACATGAACACTGCGGCAAAATTGGGTCCGCCATTTTGGACACCCTAACAAAGCAGAGAGCCATGCTGAGCAATGCCGCAAACCCAAAACCGCCATTTTGAACCCTGTGCCTAAGTCTTCTCCCTATTATTTTCGACCAGCCTCTTGCAACATGACACAAGACCATACTGTTTTTCTACCTCATGATACCATGGTTCACGCAAAGCTTCTAACAAGCCCCCAAATCAGCTCATTCAAAACATTTAGCTAATGCAACACATATAACTGCCTCTGCCTGTCCCGTTATCCATATTAGTTCCCTAATTTATAGTTGGCACAAACAACTAGCTCTCAGCCGACCAGCTAAAGTGGCCGCCATCTTTCCTCCCCAGCCTACCTAACCCCTTAGCCTAACTGCAAAGTCATCTCCCAGCCAAAGCCGTAGGTCCACTCACACAACACCAAACGATTAGCAGCATAAATTTGCAGACATTCCAGATAGCTCAACGAACCACAAAAAACAACACTTCCATCCATAAAAGGCCCCGATGGGCAATGAGAAAAAAAAAATCTAAACAGGTATCCACAGCCCCGATGGGCAAGGAAAAAAAAATTAAAGCAGGTATCCGAGGCCCCGATGGGCAAAGGAAAAAAAAAAATAAAAGCAGGTATCCGAAGCCCCGATGGGCCAAAAGTAATTTTTTTAAGCAGGTATCCATTGCCCCGATGGGCCAGGGAGTTGGGGGGGGGGGGCATAGCAGGTATCCGAGGCCCCGATGGGCTAAGGGGAAAAAAATAAAAGCAGGTATCCGTGGCCCCGATGGGCAAATTTAAAAACAAACAAAAAAAGAATTAAAAGGCAGGTATCCACAGCCCCGTTGGGCAAGAATAATAATAATAATAATAAAACCCGGTATCCGCAGCCCCGATGGGCAAAATATAGAAAAAAGAAGGAAAAAGAAAAGCAAACCACGAAAAAACAGAGGCATCAACCAAAAATCATTCCAATGAAAAATTCTTTTAAAATGGAAAATTGCCTAAAAACATCCCAAATACCTGAAAAATAGGGAGGAGGTGTCAAGAAAACACTCGAAGAAAGTTTAGAATTGTTAAGATATTTTATGGAATTTGGGTGAGTTTTCTTAAAGAAATACGCCATAAGGGGTGGTTGGAGCTGGAAAACGTTCCAGAAAGAACCACACGGGCGAAGACACCCACTGTTAGCGAGCTTCCATCCCGGGAAGGGAAGAAATATGGCGGCAGCAGCAAATTGCAGTGCTTTAAGAAGTGAGGGGGAGGGAACCTGAGGGCGGAGGGAGTAGAAGAGGAGTGGCCTAGAAGATTGAAAGCCAGACATCTTTGTGGTTTAACTGGTTCAAAATTTAACCAATAACAAAAAAAGGGGGGGATATTTCAAGAAAACAGCAACGTTAGAAAGAACACTAGACTGGAAGTAGCCTTCATTTCTTGAGCACAAATTCAATGGGCTTTCCATGGGTTCTTATCTATAGAATAGGGACGTTGAGGAAGTCAAATTAGATAACTAATGCTAAAATTCTCCACAAACAACATAGCAAATGAAAGGGTTTTAGTTTAGTTTGGTTTTGTTTGAAATGGGAAGAAGGAGGAAGTAAGCTTTGATATGTTGATAAAGAATCCCGATACCTCTTTCAGCCAGAAGGTATAACTCCCCCACCACAGCTAGGAAGGGTACTACATTAAGGTTAGAACCCTCTCCAAAGGACTTTCCCTTTCATTATCTAATGAGATAGTGCCCGTTTGTTCCTATGTTTGATAGATAATGAAGCTGTTATATGATATGCATGAGGTCACACACCATGATTTTGAGTCCGTGTATTTTCTACTCCAGCATTCTGCCTTTGTATGGCCCCCGATCATGGAGATGTAGAAGTGCTTTTAAGTCAAACGGTGAGCAAGAGAAAGGAAGGAGCAGAAGGTAATTCACAGAATGTCATTTTGGCCACTAAATAATCAAGAAGCTGTACTGTCTGTGATCTGTTTGCAATTTTTAAACCGTGAGACCTAAATCTTTAGTATTTTCCTATTTCCTCCATGAATCTGATTACCCCCAACATTGAACCAATCCTAAGGTCACAGCAGTGAAGTTCACTCACTGACAGTAACTGATAGGCAAAAGCTCTTATAAAAGCCAAAATTGCCCCCCAGAAACCTGGCTATTTCAATGAGAAGATTCAATCTCATAAACTTTCCTATATTGTTTATCAGAGAAACAATGGAGAACCAGAGGGAGACAATGAAAACTAAGTATCACACAATGATTCTTAGAAAGTCAGAGGATACATTGCCTTCCCACTGGCTGAACTAAAAAGTGTAACTATTAACCCAAATGCTATCAGGTAAGCAATACCCTCCAGTCTCCAGAAAATAATAAAGTATATAAAATTTTCTTCCTCAGGGACACCTGGGTGGCTCAGTGGTTGAGCATCTGCCTTCCGCTCAGGTCATGATCCCGCGGTTTAGGAATTAAGTCCTGCATCAGGCTCTCCACAGGGAGCCTGCTTCTCCCTGTGCCTGTCTCTCTGTCTCTCTCATGAATAAATAAATAAAATCTTTTTTTAAAATTCTTCCTTAAAGGATACACTCCATCTTCTAAGTGCTCTTGGTTCACCCACAAAAAAAGCATCTGACATGTTATTCCAAATGAGGGAAATTGTGTTGTACAAGTGCTACCCTTGAGAAGACAATGCTTAACACAAAGAGAATCTATTAACAGAATTTCAGTCTGGAGGATAATTTTCCACAAGAGCCTTCCTGAAGACCCAAAAATTAACTGTGGAGCAAAAGCCAACAAACAAGACCTGCTATGCTTTCCAGATTTGGGATAGGAAATGGGATTATAATTCTGAATGTCTTTAAGATTTCACCCTAATTTAAGTTTTCACAAGTTTCTAGTGAAAGAAATAGGAGGAAAAGGAATCCTGTTGTATAAGTTAGTAAATTGAGATTGAGGGATACTGGTTTCTTTGTGTTTGGTTTAAAAGCTAGTGACAGCATGAGGATCCCAGAATAAAGACTTATAGCTTTGGTTGCACTTTAGTGAAATAATTCTGTTGATAAAACTGCCTCGTGTATTAGACATCTCTAGTGGGAATTGTGGAATTTGTGTGGAGTTCTAAATCACTGTAATGAGGGACACCTGGGTGGCTCAGTGACTGAGCCTTTGGCTCAGGGCATGATCCCGGAGTCCTGGGATCGAGTCCCACATTGGGCTCCCCTGGAGAAGCTTGCTTCTTCCTCTGCCTATGTCTCTGACTCTTTCTCTGTCTCTCATGAATAAATAAATATTTAAACTAAATAAATAAATAAATCACTGTAATGATCATGTTGCATTCCAAAAATAACCATACCTGTAAAAGTCAGTTGCTACAACCACTTTGATATCACTCAGTCATCAGAGAAAAACAATGATTATATAAGTACTATTCCCTTAACACAGGGCCTCTCAGCCTGGATTTACCAGTAGGACTTAAAAAGCAAAACAACTATCATCAGAAAATGTTTATCAGCTCACCTGAACCAATCTTAAACTCCTTCTTTATAGGCCATGAACTAATAGTATTACCAGGAATCTGACCACCCCTCCCAACATAGAACTTAATGTGTTTCAGCTTATTGTGTCTTTAGCATAGGCTACCAATCATTAGGGTAATGAGGCCTGCCTAATATAGCTCTGTCCAACAGAATATTCTACAATTTTGGTAATGTTCTATACTTTTTAGACCTTGGGTTAAAGAAACTTTTCTTAAACAAGATTCAGATCATCAGCTACAAAAGAGTGATAAATTTGACTTTTTGAAATTAAAATGTTTTATTTCACAAAAACACCTTAAAAGGTAAAAGACAGACTATAAATTGGTTGTCCTGGAGTTCTGCAGCCAGGTTCTAGTTCCTGAAGAGCAGCCAACCTAGCAGTTTACTTCTATTGGGTCTCATAGTAATTTCTTTCATGGGATTGGGTGAAATGTGGCCACCAAAATGGTGACAACATGCTGATTCTCAATGACTGTCACTGACATCAGACACAGGACATTTCCAGGCTCTGGGCTATTAAGATCCACAGCCAACACAAAGAACTGTGGAGGCAAGAAATCTTTATTCTTTTGATACAAATCGGTTCCAAAGAGTCATTGCATTGGAAGTTATAACAGTGTTGCTACCTTTTCTTATAATGGGAAGTATAAAATTAGCCAGGTATGGTGCATTTGACAAAAAAGGAACTTGAAAAAATGGTTTTGGGACCTGAAAAGGAAGAGGTGGTACATGGCCATTATGAAGAATTTTCACATGAACTGTTTAATAAACAAATCTGCAACTACCTCTTTCTACACATTATTCTAAATCTTCTTTGCTAAATTACTACACCTCACATGGACCCATGAATTTTATAATACATTTTAATTAGTTACATTGAAAGGATTCCTCCAAATTTTTGCCTAAGATCCTGCATGCCTTAGAGAAGCCCTGCTCTCTCCTACCATTTATCACCTTTGGGCTTTAATTATTCCTCCCCCACCCCCACCCTCAGACCACAGTCCTTTACTTCATGCTCTTCCCTTTGCCTTTACTACTACTTGGCTTTTTTCTGTGGCTATACCCTCGCTGTGTCCACACCTTCTACTTTGGGCTCCTAAATGCATGGAGTACACCAGGAATTACATAGGAGGAAGGAATCAAGACCTGTTTCTGAAAGATTCCAATTATTCTACTTTTACGCTTGTCATTTTGTTAACCTAGAATTCCTCTCCTCAACTAGTTTAAAAAAAAAAGGCAAGAACTACCTGACTTTGCCAGCAGATGGCAGCATGAAATTAACAAAGAAGCCAGAAGAAAAGGAGTCAAAGTCTTCAACTAACCTGAACTAAGGTCTGAGTTGAAACATTCATACAAGTTCAGTAACAGAAAAAAAGAATGAAAGAAAAATACGCAAACCCCTCTTATTTGAACAGTTCTCCTGAGTGGAAGTTTGTTCTTGGCTTCAAAGCAGTGCCACTGAAAAAGGACTTTCATAAAGCGTTCAGAGTCAAATTAACAGACTGGTGGGGGCCCTGAAAGCCATCATTAGTGAAAAGCAGTTAAAGGAACTAGGACATATTATGGACATAAGAATACTTGTGGAAGGGTTCTTTACAATTCATAAGGACTGTCTACAATGGGAGAAAAATGATGAGCTGTGTTGTGTATAGATTTATATAAATAAGGATGTCTGAATACTCTGAGTTGTCCAGAGATGGAACAAACTACCCCCAAAACTGGTGAGATGCTAATCTCTGAAGGTAGGAAAGCCAATGACGGAATTAGTGGGTATGCTACGAGAAGAATCATCAGATAGAAAAGTCGGATCCCGTGCCCTGTAAGGATCTTCTAACTAGCTCAAGATCCTCTATATGGGATTTTACCTTTTTTTTATTTTTGTAAGGTTGTAATAAATAATTATAATTATCACATAATAACAGGTGATCACTATGATCCCATAGTAATAAGTGATTCTTATGATCAATTGAAGGCCAAAAATTTAGATAACCTAGATAAAATGGACAAATTCCAAGAAACACACAAACTACCAAATTTGCCTCAAGAAGAAATAGTAAATCTAAACAAACTTATACCAAGTAAGGAGATTGAATCAGTAATGAAAAATCTCCCAACAAAGAAAACTACAGGACCAAAGGGCTTCGCTGGGTAATCTACCAAAAGTTTGAGAAAAAATCAACATCAACCATTCTCAAACTACTCCAAAAAACAAAAGAATAGGAAACACCTCCTAACTCATTCTATGACACCAAAGCCAGATGAAAGCATCACAAAAAAGAAAGCTACAAACCAAAATTGTTTATGTACACAGATGCAGAAATTCTCAGCAAAATAGTAACAAATCAAATCCAGCACCATATAAAACATTTATACACCATGACAAATTGGAATTTATCCAGGAATTTAAGAGTATTTCAACATCTGAATATCATCATCTTAATTTATATAGAAAAAAAAATTTGATAAAATCCAACATTTATCGACACAAAAACAGTCACAAGCTATAAATAGAACTTCCTAAACCTGTCGAAGGGCATTTTTTAAAAAATTAAAAACCCACAGCTAATATCACACTCAATGGTGGAATTCTGAAAGCTTTTCCCCTAAGACCAAGAACAAGACAAGAATGCCCATTTTCACTACTGCTTTCAACATTG